AAAAGAGCCTGCCTTGCCCGGCCGGTGTGGCTCAGTGGTTGAGCATCCACCATGCACTAAGAGGTCACCAGTTCAATTCCTGGTCAGGGCACATGCCCAGGTTGTGGGCCAAATCCCCAGTGGGGGGCATGCAGGAGGCAGGCAATCGATGTTCTTTCTCATTGATGTTTCTAGCTCTCTCTCTCTCTCTCTCTCTCAAATCAATAAAGGAAAAAAAAAAAAAAAAAAAGAGCCTGCCTTGCTCCTACTTCTCCCTCCGGCCACCATGCTGCTCTTTGCTCCTTTTACAGCAAAATGTCTCTGAAGAGTTGTCTACACTTTCAGGATCTCTGCTTCCTCTTCTCCATTCTAACTCAAACCTACTGTAATCAAGATCTCATCTTCATTCTCCACTAGAACAGCTCTTACCAAGCTCACTAGTGACCTTGTTGCTGCTATAATCAGCAAAGGGGCCACATATTAACCCTAACGAGCCCAGGGAAGGTCCGTATGGCAGGCTTACAAACCCAGAGGTGGAAAGTAACTATATAGTGTGGTCTGAACTTAACAATCCCTAACTAAAAGTGGGTCATGAGGGGTGGTCACGTTCTAGGCTTGCAGCTTCCTTGACAAAGGTCAGTCTTTACTTTTGAAATTGTCTATTTTCTTTGTGCATCTAAGATAACATACCTTTGAAATGTCAGAGTAATTTTCTTTTCCAGACCCCTGGGAGGCACAGCATGCAATCACATTTTTATCTTGTTGCCCACATGCCATCTCTCTACATTGGAAATGTTAACTATCCTGTAGCCACCAATGTAAAAGAAGTATGTGCTCTCCACTTTGCTTTTTATCCAATCTCAGAAATGTCCCTGCTTTGCTTTCTGCTGCCTCCTTCATCTACCCCCAATGGATTTCATGTAATCCTTCATAGGGTTTCTCCTTGATTCTAATGTATAAAATAAGCTGCAAAATTGCCATTTTCCAGAGCATTTTCTTAATCAGTTGAAATTTTGCTTCCCTGAAATTGCCATAAAATAAACTCGTAGAAGACGTTTCTTCGGCAGGATGTTCTTTTGTTGACACTACCAAGTTCAATGGTCATTTCTCAGTACTTGTCTTATTCTACACGTGAGCAGCTCTCAGCGCAGCTGGTAAGGCTGTTACCAGGTGTCTTGCTTGGCTCCGGACACCACTGCCTCTTGGGTTTCTTCCTACCTCACTGGCCACTCCTCTCCGTCTCCTTTGTCTTCCCAACCTACAGGTAACAAAGTGCCCAGGATCAGTTCTGGACAAGTGTTCTATCTATACCCACTCTCTAGATGATCCCATTGAGTCCCATGGTTTTAAATATTATTCACATACTGATGACTTATGAAGTTAGAGTTCCAACCCTCTACCTCTCCCTGGAACCTCCACTGCCTACTCTACTTAGATGTATAACATGCATATCAAGCTTCAAACCTAAATCAACTAAACACACCCAGAACTCTGTAGTATTCTCCATTCGTACTCAGACCTTTGTCTTCCCTGCTGATCAAAGGCAACTTCTTTTTGCAGTGGTTCAGCTTCTAAAACTTGGAATCATCTTTGACTCTCTTTTATAGAACACCCCCCATCTATCCACAGATCCTGTCAGCATTTCCTTCAAATTAAATCTAGAGTATGGCTGCTTCTCACCACCTCCACCTAGTCTAAGCCACCACCTCATCTTGCCTGGATGATTCTATCAGCCTCCTAATTGTTCTCACTGCTTCTATCCTTGCCTTCCCCAACCCTCGCATCCAGAGTAATCTTAACGACTGCAATTAGATAATGCCATGCTCTACTTTAAACCTTCTAAGGCTTCCCATCCTTACTTGCTGAATGAAATTCTAATGTCTTATCAGGGCTGACGCGCCCTATGAGACCTGCTTCTGCTTCCTTTGTGATCTCTGCTCCCACCTCCCTTCCCCTTGCCCACACACCAGTCTAACTACTGATTTCCTGATATTCTCTGAAGATGCGAAACCCACTCCTGCCTCGGGGCCCTTGTACTCTGTCCTCTAATCCTTATCACCCTCCCCTCTGGTTAAATTCTCTCCTTCCTTCAGGCTCTATCCAAATTACATCTTTTCAAAAAAGCTATGACTATTCTTTCGACAATAACCCTCCTCTGTCACACCCATACTCTCTCTCTCTCATTACCATGCTTTATTTTTCTTCCTAGCAATGATCATACTTGGACATATCTTAAACCATTTTCTAATGTATTATTGATAACCTCATTAATATGTAAGTTCAATAAGAACAGAGTCTTTGCGCATTTAGTCATTGTTGTATCCCGAGCTTCTGAAAGAGTGCCTGATACATAGTGTTTGACAAATATGTGTTGAATTAATGGATTTGTTGAATAAACTCACCCAAGTTTCTTGTCAGGTGAAGAGAGTGGTTTCCAGATGGTTGTCTAATTAATGTGATCAAAATCAAGTGTAAGGAACTGGGAGTTACATAGTCAGATTATGCATTTATTGCCAGAGATCACCAGGGGATTCACAGTTATTTTCAGGTTGCTCCTTGATGCCAAATTATTTGTCAAACTCCAAGGCGGAACAAAACATCTGCCTTTAACTGCTTTGGCATGCCACTTATCCTTAGGGACTCAGTGTGTTCATCTGTGAAATAGGCAGTTGGAGATGTGGTTACTGCTCTGCTAGTTTATGGTCTACAAAATGCTGGAGGGAGGCAGTACAGTCAGGAGGATCAACCCACACAGGCCCTGGGGCTTGACTGCCTGTGTTTGAATCTTGATTCTCTTCTTCACAAGTCACATGACCTTGGGCAACTTACTGTTTCCTCCTTTGTAAAGTGGGAATAATAAAAGAATTATAGCCCCGGCCAGTTTGGATCAGTGGTTAGAGTGTCAGCCGGTGGACGAGAGAGACCAGGGTTCTGTTTCTGACAAGGGCACATACCTTGGTTGCAGTTTGTCTCCAGCCCCAGTTGGGGTTGTGTGGTTGGCAACTAGTCAGCGTGTCTCTCTTGCATTGATGTTTTTCTCTCTCTCTTCCTCCCTCCTGCTCTGTCTGAAGATAAATGCAAAAATGTCCTTGGGTGAAGATAAAAATAAATAAATAAAGTAATTATAAGTCATCTAATTATTTATTATTAAGTAATTATTTAATTCAAATAATAATTGTGAGGTTTACATACAATAATACATGTAAAATACATAGCATATGGTCTGGCACATAGTAACTGCTCAATACATGTTAGCTATTAAAAATGAAAAGTTCTGGGGGAAGTTTTGAGTGGGTCATTGGTATTAATGTGTCTGAGGGGCAATAATCTACTCTAGGATATTAGATGATATGAAATCTCTAGAGGTGTGGTAATAGTATTGTGATTAGGTAGGAGAATGCCCTTATTCTTGGGAGATGCATGGTGAAGTACTTAAGAATAAAGCCTCACAATGTCTGTCACTTTCTAGTAATCTGGTCAAATATACCTCCATGTTTTGTTATCTATTGTCAAGCAAATAGGATGAAATGTTAACAACTGTTGAAGCTAGGTGGACAGTATAGTTTACTATCCTATTCTTTCAACTTTTCTATATGTTTGAAAATTTCAAAATACAAGGTTGAAGGGAAAAAAAAAAACACCCAGAAAAATAATCTAGTAAATCCAACATATTTTACAGAAAAAAAGCTCAGATGTGCAGCATTTGCCTCGGGTCATACAGCTGGTGAAGCCTGAGTCAGAACCCAGTTCTCCTGGCTGCCTCTTTCTTTGTGTGGGTGGCTGCTTTTGACCCTCTGGCAGCAGTGAGCAGCAGAGGAACACACCCAGCTCCCCCTCAAAGAGACAAGGAGTATTACGGGTGTGTAAAAAGGCACCTGTGTTGGTGTTTCCTTTTGTTCATTGAGCAAACAGGTCAGCTAGTTGGAAGGTGTGATGTCAAAAATGTGAAGGCAATACCAGAGCTAGACCTGTCATCCTAGAGAGTGGACATACCAGTTTGGCACCATCAACTTGCGGTTTTTGAGTGGCGGTGGGGTGTGTGTAAACTCTGGGAATTTATAGGAGAGAGGAAAGAGGGGCGGGGCCGGGCCAGGAAGAGCAAGCAAGAAGAGTCTGGCTTCAATTCTGGAAGCTCCCTGAAAAAAAAAACCCAGGGACCCAGGGTATCAGGGGATGAAGAGGAATCGTGTTTACAGAAAAGAAATGATTCTCTGCGGTCTGCAGCATCCTCCTCTAGCTAATAGTGTTCAAGGCGGTGAAAAGGAGAGAAAAGGAGAAGAGGGAGGTGGGCACAGAGAAAAAACCAGAGGGGAAGGAGAAAAAATACAGAAGAGGCAATCTGGACCACGGTGGGGGAGGGGCAGGGGGAAGGCTGTAGGAAAGGTAGAGTCCAAGACGAAGGAGTTGAGGACCTTCAGCTTCTGCCAGCTGGAGTGTCTTGCCCCAGAACTGTCCTGCTTCTCTCTCCTCGGTCTGTCAGTCCCTGGAGGCCGCTATAGGGGCGCAGAGCTCCTGGCGCTCTTACTAGGGGGAAGGGCAGGCAGGGGAGGCGGAGCCTCCGGGCCGGGCGGGAGCGGAGCCTCTGGCCGCGGGCGGGCGGAGCTCCTCTCCGGCGAGCGCCGGAGTCTGGGGGCCACCGCTTCCCCCTCCCGGTCGGCGGAGGCGCCTGGCCCCTCCCCCCCGCCGCCCCTACCCCCGCCCCCGCCGCTGTCAAACATAAACCGGCTCTTGCCTGCAGGAGCAGCGGCAGCCGCGATCCCGCGGTGAATAGCCTCGGGCGCGGCCTCGCCTCGCCCGCATCAGTACCGCGGCCAGCACCGCGGCCAGACCCAGGACCTGGGAGCCCGCCCGGCCACCTGCCCACCGGCGCCAGGGTCCGAGGTGCCCTCATCAGCACCACGGACAGCGCCCCGGGCCCGTTCCTTCGCCGCCGCCCGCCCACCTGCGCCCCCGAGTCAGCACCGAGGACAGCCCCCTTGACCAACCCGTCCGCGGCTGGGACCAGTCAGCGCCCTCGGAACATGGCCACCGAGGTAGGGGGCGAGCGCCCGCCCTCAGGCAGTGCCCGACAGCTGCGGGAACAGATCCCGCTAGGGGCGTACTGGGCGGGAAGGGCCGAGGGGGTGGTGATGGTGGTGGAGAGAGGGTAGTGGGGGTAGGGTGGGATGGGGAGGTTCCCGGGTCCGGTCCGGTCCGGAGGGAAGGGTGGATAGTGCAGTGGCAGGGTGGAAGAGAGAGGCTCCTCCTTGAGAGCTCACCGCACCCTGGGCTTGTCAGTCTTCCATTTGAGTCCCGAAGCTGTCGGTACCACTTGTTGGCACTAGCGCCAGGGTTGCTCCAGCGTTTCAGCTGGGGTTTCCCCTTCCCCTAGACTGCATGTCCCGAAAGCGCTTCCCTACCCTAGAGGGTTGGACATGAGCTACGGGAGGGAATGCGGCTGGCTGCTGTTGCTATGCGCCAGCTTCTGAGCCAAAAACCTGGCTAAGCGGTGACAGACCTACCTCCATCCACATCAGCATTTCCTTCGGGGCCAGAGGAAGACAAGGAATCCTCAGGCCGAAACCCCAAATGGTTGGTTTTAATGAGCTGCCCTTACTTGCTTTTTCACCCCACTCAAGTTTCCTGTACCAGGATGTCCACATTTCTCCTGTGTCTGATGGGAGGATCTGCCTTCTTCAAGGTGTTCCTATAGGTGTGTCACTTTCAAGGAACTTGAAAGCTGACCCAAGGGACGTGTTGGCCGAGGGCAGAATCTATGTGCAATGCTTAAGAGATCAGGCAGGAATTACCTCCTCTACCTTCTCATTTCATGAGGGAAATGGAGCTCTTTATGTTCCCACTTAATAAGTGGTAAAGCTACACATGGAGAAGGGGAGGATCTACTCTATACTCACATAGCATGTCAGCAGTAGAGCTGAATGTATCTTCCTTTAATTTCTGTAGTGGAACCCAGGACACCGGTGTCTCCTTGGTTCTGATGTTGACTTCTTTTGTGGGGTTTCCCCATTTCCAACACAGCTGGAACACAAGCCATGGGGACAGCAGAGGCTTTTGAATGATTCTATGCAGTCCTCTGGGCATCCTGGTGAGCAGCGTGACATCAATACAAAGTGCTATTGTTGTCATTCTGCTGTTGTCCCCACAGAACAAGGTGCAGTTGCTCAGCATCATTCAGGTTTCTGACAAGGCACAGGGTTAGCTAGGAGAACTTGCTCCCAGGACCTTGTAAGGGGCAGGCCCTGAGCAGACGCATGGAGCTTGATGTCTAGGGTAGAGGGACGCAAAGTGCTCAGAAAGTGCCAAGAACACTGGGAAGAATGGGAAGAACAACGGAGAGATGGCCAAGAAGCTGGTCACCTTCCAGACAGGTGAGCAGAGCCTTTTCCTGGGGAGTCGCACATGCCTAACAGCAGCCTCTTCTGTGAATCTGGACTTTCTGTGTTCAAAGCACTGTCACACATGATTTCCTCTGAGTCTCAGAGCAAACCTGTGAAGTAGGCAAGAATGGTGTTATTATCCCCAATTAACAGATGAGACAACTGAGGTTCAGAAGCTTGCCTGGTCCCCATGAAAGAGCAAAGGAAGGCATCATCATCTAATTTTACAGATGATGTAACTGGAGTGCTGAGACTTATCCAAGAAAATATGGCTAAAAATTAGTGGGGTGAGGACTAGAACTTGAGTCTTCTGCCTCCCTGGCCAGTGATTTTTTTTTGGCTGTATTCAGGTGCATCAATTATCCAGTTGTTACCCAATAGAGAGGAGAGCACTAGGGTCTTGATCAGAAGCTTCGAGTGGGAAGGGGTACGAAGGAGTTCAGGAATGGCCGGAGTATGGGAACTGGCCTGGCTGCGTCAGCTTGAGGGCAGAGGGACAGAAGAATGCTCAGAAGGGATGGGGAGCTGAGGACAAACATTGCCCATCTCCCAGTTTTGCCTTCGGTGGACTCTGATGGTGGTACTGGGGGAAGAAGCCTTAGCTCTGCCAAGGCACAGGACGTGCACATTATCTGGGCTGCAGAGTGAGTCATTCTCCACAGGCTGTTTTAATGTTAGGAATGAGTTAAGATTACCAGGAAAAACCTGTTGGGAGAAGGAAAATAAGCCAAGCTCCTGTGGCCATTCCCTTAGGATTCTGAATGTGAAGTCCTTAGCTCTTGCAGAAGGTGTTTTGAGGGGAGGAGAGGGGAGAGAGGGGGTGGGGAGAGGGAGGGAGAGGACAGTGAGGAAGAGTAAGAGAGAGAATTAAGAAAGATTGGATGTCCCTGGATTCCTGGATGGAAGACATGGAAACTGGATCCTGCCCTGGCTGGTTGTTCAGTGGTTAGAGCATCAGCCTGCAGACCAAAGAGTCATGGGTTTGATTCTGGTCAAGGGCATGTGGCTGGGTTGTGGTTCATCTCCAGCCCTGGTAGGGGTCATGCGGGAGGCAATCAATCAATGTGTCTCTCTCACATCAATGTTTCTCTCTCTGTCTCTTTCCCTCTCTCCCCCCGCCTCCCACTTTATCTGAGACCAAAAAAAATATCCTTGGGTGAGGATCAAAAAATTAAATATTAAAATAAAAAAGCCCTGGTTGGGTTGGCTCAGCAGTTAGAGCATCGGCCCACAGACCAAAGAGTAGCAGGTTTGATTCTGGTCAAGGGCACATACCTCAGTTGCAGTTTGTCCCCAGCCCTGGTCAGGTTCGTGTGGGAGGCAACCAGTTGATGTGTCCCTTTCACATTGATATTTCTCTCTCCCTCTCTCTCCTCTCCCACCCTATCTGAAGATAAATAGAAAAATATCCTAGGGTGAGGATTAAAAAAAAAAAAGAGAGAAACCGGATCCTTTTTGCTCCCTAATTTCTTTTAGGAGTTAGAATTAGGGAAGGTGTGTGTATGGAACTCAGAGGAAGAAGAAGCCTCTGGAGTGATATACTGACCTCATTTTGAACACTAATGAGTCCATATCCTGAGCAACAAACCTCTGCAAATGTGTGTCACTGGGAGCAGGGTCTGCCCAGATGGCCGAAGACAGCTAGGAAATGGCTGGAAGGGGCTTCTCCAAGAGGTGGGGTTTGGCTCCTAGGAGATTTAAAAATGCATCCAAGTAGGATATTTGGAGGTTTGATCTCTGAGGCTTGGAATTAACAATCAGCAGACGATCAGTGGGTTGTGCTTGGGCTCTGCTGTCGTCTGACAAGCAGGGAGGCCCTGTGCCCAGGTTTCCTTCCTGAGATCCCACTTGGCTGCCTGTTACCCATGGTCCTCACTCCTCCTCCTCACCCTGGCCAGGGAGCATGATGCTGGCTCATCAGCTGCATCTTCTGATTTCCGAGTGGAGTCTTAAAAGCATCCTCTGGAATTAGCTGCTTTTAATGAGGATGGAGATGTGGCCAGAAGAGGTCTCCGGTGTGTCTAGAGAAGATCAGGCCTGGGTGTGCTCACCTGCACTCCAGTGCCGGCTCCTTCCCACCTCCACCAGGTTGACTCTATTGGGTGTACAGGCCCTAAATATTTGAACTGGGGTACCCACTCTCCAGGCAGCCTCCCCTTCCCTGTCTGTCACACTGCAGTTTGAAAGTAGGTACCAGCAGATCTCACCATTGATTTTCTCTTTCTTCCTCATAAAGTGCCTCCTGGTCTTGTCCTTACTTCGCTGCCAACAGGCCAGGGAATAGTGATGTGAGAGGGGAGGGATAAAGGTGAGAAATGGATGAAAAGTCCAGGTGTCTGGTTCAGTGCCCAGGGGAGACACAGAAGCTGGTAGAGGTGTGTGCATGCTGTAGGACCCTCTTGTGGGGTTTCAGAGCATCACAATCTTGGTTGAAAACCCTTGCCAGCTTCCTGAAAGCTGAGTTGGTGGCAAATGGCTGGGCACCTGGCTCTTGCTCTGGTCCAAGGGCCCCTGCCGTGGGATTCCTTGTCCTAAACTGGCCGCTCCAGGGATGAACCTGGTTCACAGATGTGTCTTATTTGGTCTGCTTATGCTTATAAATGTAAAAAAAATATATTTAAAACATTTAAATATCAGGATATTTGATATTAAGGCAATCTGGATTTATAGCCTTTAAAAGAAAAAACTAGAATCACAACCTGGGCACACATTCTCACATGGCACTGATCAGGTGTTTTCTTGAGACAGGAAACAAATTCTCTAATTAGCCACAGTTCCCACCTGGCCCACTTACGTGCTTAGTCCCTGTAAATATTTGCATCCATAGTCCCAGAGGAGGTCTCTAGAATCTCAGAGCTGGAAGGGGCTTTAACAATTACATAGTTCCAAACTCTTCAGCTTCTAGTTGAAGAAATGGAGGCCTGGACAAGGAAAGACTTTCTAGGGTCATGTGGCCAGGGCTAGCACCCGGTTTTCTCTCCCAGGTCAGTGGCCCATCTTTCCAGCAGAGCTCTTTGGTACTTCCCAACCGGGCCACTGTGAATGGAGAGAGCCAGGAGACCCTGCCTTGCCTTAAATCCTACTCTTTCCCAACTACGGATGAGTTTGTGATGTGTGTGCTTTAAGTAGATCTTGGAAATGAAGGCTCTGGCATATAAAGTGTATCTGATATCCTGCAGCAACTCCTCAAGACCCTGCAAACACTCTCCAGGAAGGGAAGGGGATCCTTGGTCACCTGGAGCCAGGACAGTGTCCTAAGGCTCAGGATATTGTTAGAATTGGAAAGGGTGTTGACCCCTCCCACTGTGGCTACTTCGAGAACCCATGGGTAAAAACCAACAGTAAATGGGACTTGCAGTATGTAAGGTAGCACACCCTACAGTCTTAATAACACAATACGATAGAAGTTTATTTCCCACTTGGTAAAGTCCCAGACAGACGTTCCTGAGAGCAGGTGGGTCTCCTCCAGGCTGTGATTCAGGGACCCATGCTCTTTCCAACTTGTGGTTCCACCATCTTCAACATGTGTCTCCTTTGGTTTCTGTGGGAGAGGAAAGATCACAGAGGAGTGGCCGGTCTTTATGAACCAAGCCTATAAATGACATTTATCACTTCCACTCATATTTCATTCCGTCACATGGCCACACCTAACTGCAAGGGAGGCTGGGAATTAATCTAGCTGTGTGCCTAGGAGGAAGAAGAGGTGACTGTGATCAATAGCTAGCCAGTGCTGGGGGACACATACCTCCATGGTAGCCCACAGTGCATGTGTGTGAATTCAGACAAAGGAGGGCGTTGGAGGGGAGGAAGCTGAGTTCATGTCACAATGGCTGAGGCACTGTTCTTTCCATTCTCACCACATTTTTTCTGGAATTAGACCCACTTTAGTTCCCCCCTGGACTACTACACAGATAGTCATCCCTCCAAGTGGCCCCCTACCCCAGTCATGCCCACTTCCCACGCACCGTTCACAGAGTTGCCAGAATGATCCTTCTGGGGCTAGGGGAATCCATCTCCAAGTCCGACTGGCTCATGTCAGTTGGTTTAGAAGGGCAGAGGACGGCCACAGCCCTTGTCTTTGAAAATAAAGCAGCATAAAACCTTAACCAGACAGAGTATATACAATGAGGAATAACTTATTTATGTAAGCAAAGCATTCTTTATTTTTCAAAGTTATCTTAGGATCCTAGTAGATGTCAAAGTTTCTTAATTGAAACCTCGATTAGAGGAATGAAGAATTATTAAGACTAGAGGAACACTCACACATCCTTTAATCCAATCACAGCACGTTGGGATTGCATCTCTTAATTCACCTGGATTTAGGAAGGTCTTGTATTGTGGCCAGTCTTTGATTTGTACCTTTTCAGGATCTTGATCTACTACGTATTTGTTCCTACTACCATACTGACTACCTTTTTCTCATTACTTATCCTTTTCCCAACTTTTAAGCAACATTTTTCTGCCTTAAATCCTCCCCTTCTGAAACCCCTCCATTAATTTTTTTTTTTTTTTTTTTTATCCTCACCCGAGGACATTTTTCCATTTTTTGATAGAGTGGGAGGGAGAGAGAGGAAGAGCAAGAGAGAGAGAGAAACATCGACGTGAAAGGGACACATTGAGTGGTTGCCACCCACACGACCCAACCAGGGCTGGGGACAAACTGCAACCGAGGTACGTGCCCTTAGCGGGAACCGAACTTGGGCCTCTCTGGACCGCAGGCCGACGCTCCAACTGCTGAGCCAAACCAGCCAGGACCATTAATTATTGATCTAATTCTTCTCTATACTATTCCCAGTGTTCTTATCTGATTCGCAAACCAACTCCATTCTTGCTGAAATCTGCCTCCAGTCATCGAGTGGATGCCTTCTCTGCTGTCTTCATTACTTTCACAGGCTTCTCCCTGTCTGGGTTGCCTGTTCCTCCCGCTAGCCTCCCCTCCCCCGCCCCATCTGCCCTGCCCCTGGTAACTCCTGGCCTTCCTTTATGATTCAACACAGACCTCAGGAAGCCTTTCTGAATCAGTGCTTCTGGGGAAGAAGTTACTTCTCTGGAGCATTTATCACAGTTGAATTCATTATATATTTACTTGTCTTCCTCCCTGTAGCTCACAGACTGTCTTTTGCTCGGCATCCCTGGAGCCTGGCAATAGTGAGGACCTAATAAATGAAAGCTGAGTGACTGAATGGATTCACCTTAATTACACGGGCTGAACGGGCTGTGTATTCCCTCTGCCTTTGGGGCTTGGTCTCCACGTGGTTCTAATGTCTGGCTTATTTCACCCAGTGGGTTGCTTGCCTGGAACATGAATGAATGTGGCTGGAAGTGGAAGAAAAAGGCCCTGTTCTTCTGTGGATTTGAGCCCACTTCCCTCGAATGCTAGAGTCTGGGTCGATGTCAAGTGTGCAGGTGTGGACAGGGGTCAGAAGTCATCCCACTTCTTTCTGCCAGGGCAGGGAATGTCTTCTCTTTCTGGCTTCCGCCCACTTTATCCACAGTTTTCTCTGGGGGCTTGGACATTTGTGGGTCTCTTCTTTCCTATGGTGAGAAGTGCTGGAAATGAAAACCATTCATGACGCTCTCCTGCCCAGGCCATAACTCGACTGAACCCGAATCTCCCTCTGAGTTCATGGGCAGGGCAGGCTCTTCTCTACCCCCAGGCTCCCCTCTCCCGCCCTGCTGTGAGCTCCGCTCCGGCTTCGAGACCAGTCCTGTTCAGTGCCGGGTTTCCTAAGCCAAGGCCTGACAAGTTGTGGACATTCGATGCTGTAGGAATGAAGTATGGAAGGCCTACCATGTGTGTACATGTGCACACTTTGTGTGTGTGTGTGTGTGTGTGTGTGTGTGTATGAGACAGACAGACAGACAGAGACAGATTTGTGCCAGCCACAAGGAAGTCTGTTCCTCAAGTTAAAGTTTGATTCTGGCATCTGTCGATGGTTCCAGAACCTCTCATTTTGGCTCAGTTTTGGTCCAGCTTCAGGCTTTTCCTCGATTTTTCTGGGATCACTCGAGGCAACTCCTGGGGTAAACTCTACAGTACTGCTTCCTTGTGACCTTCCTGGAGCAGATGTAAGGTGGCCAACTTGTCCTGGTTTGCCAGGAATGCTCCTGATTTCAGTGCTGAAGGACCCACGCCCAGAAAACCCGTCTCAGATAAACCTGGAGGGGCGGGCACCTTGACTGGGGTCTTCTTCTCTACATCTTTCCAGGTGCACAATCTGCAAGAACTCCGGCGAAGTGCGTCGCTGGCCACCAAGGTCTTTATCCAGAGAGACTACAGCGATGGGACCATCTGTCAGTTCCAGACCAAATTCCCCCCGGAGCTGGACAGCCGGGTAAGGATGTCTGTTTCTAAGCCGGGGGCAGGGGTCTGATTGAAACTGAGGGGCTTATTCAAGTGTATTTTTTCCCCAGGAAAAAAGTGGTATGTGACTTATCACTTATTCAGCCACTACACGTGGAAAAATTAAAACATTCTTAACGTGGTCTTGCTGTCACCTCATTGAAAGTTAGAACTGAAGAAACCTCGGTTTCTAGTACAACAGCTCTCAAATTTCAGCAGCGCAAGAATCACCTGAGAACTTGTTAAACATGTTTCCAAGTCCTGGTGTTAGGTGTCATCAGAGATGCTGGCTCAGTTTTGGACTGAGTTCAGGAATCTCCACTTTGTAGCGGCAGTTCACAAACCCACATTAGTATTTTCTGGGGAGCCTCGAAAGATCCTGATGCTGCCCGGCCGGAGTGGCTCAGCGGACTGAGCATCGTCCCTTGGACTGAGAAGTCCTGGTTCGATTCCCGGTCAGGGCACATGCCCGGGTTGTGGGCTCGATCCCCAATGGGTGGTGTGCAGGCGGCAGCCAATCAATGTTTCTCTCTCACATTGATGTTTCTATTTCTCCCTTCTTCTCTTTCTAAAAAAAAAAAAAAATCAATAAAATATATTAAAAAAAAAAAGATCCTGATGCCCCGGCTACCATCCAAGGGCATTCCCACAACCCCTCCCTCCAGACTGGTTGTGTGTGTCTCATGGACACATAGCCCCTGCAAGGCATCAGCTCTTTCTGCTGAATTTTGCTCCTGGTTCTGGGGGTGTATGTAGCCTCCATCCCAGGCTGCTGTAGACCTGGCCTGGGTTTGGGGGAGGGCAGAGGGCAGACCCTAATCCTTTCAATCAGCAGCCCAGGTAGACCTAAGTGGGTTTGGAAGGTGACAGGCCTGAATTTTGCTGATCTGACCCCCTAACCAGCTTTTGGGGAGCCGTGTGGTCTCCTTATCTTAGCATGCCTGTCCTTTGGGGTGGGGTGACCCCTGGAGTAGAGCAGCAGGGCTTAGGTCAGGGGCCAAATGGACAGAATTTTCTCTATGTGTTCACTCCTGGTCTGTGTAGGGACAGTGGCTGGGATCCCCAAAGCTTCTGACTATTTGTGGGGAGAGATTTTGCCCTGTGCAGGCATGAAAAGTCCCTAACCTATGTGATGGGCAGTTCTGATCCTGTGGGGGTGAGTGGGGAACAGTGTGATCTGAAGAGCATAAAATTGGGGTGACAGACACTTTGACACCTGCTGGCTTTGCAGCATGACCTTTCGATCCAGGCTGTCCCATGTAGGGTGACATGGTAAAGAGCACAGACCTGGGTTAGAGCCGTGCAACCTTGGACGAATCCACTCAGCATCCAGCAAGTGTTTATGGAACATTTACTATGTCATAGGCACTGGGGATATAAGAGCAAATTCATGGAGTTTATTTTCTCTTAGAGGGTGCAAAAGAACCCCACAAACAAGTAAATATATAGTAGCTCAGGTGGTGACAAATACTAGAAAAATAAGGGGGGAGGTCACGGCGGCTGGAGAAAGCTCAGGCTAGGGAAATGGTCAGGGGTGGCCTGTTGGATAAGGTGAGACCTGAGGGAAGTAAGGGGTGAGGGGGACAGGGGGACAGCAGGGTATCTGGGGGCAGGGCCCACAGGCACAAAGGACCTGTGGCATTTTCAGGAAACAGCAGCAAGGTGGTCAGTGTGGCTGGAGTGGGGTCAGAGTGAGGAGGAGCGTAGGAGAGAGCTCAGCATGGACACAGGGCCAGGCAGTCTAAGGACTTCCTGGAGCTTACTTGGAAGTAGATGGGAAGACTTGGGAAGCCCTTGATCAGAGCTGTAACATGATCTGCCTTTAACAGGCTCACTTGGCAGTTCAGAGACAGGAGATGATGGATGCCTGGACCATAGAGCAGAGCTTCGATCCGTTCTCACTTGTGGAAGGGGATGATAGTCATACTTCTCTGATGGAATTTTTATGAGGGTTAAATGAAAGATTGCATAAAAAATGCCTGGCACATAGGAAGTGCTGAATAAAGATTAGTGATGATAATTATGAATGCAAGCAGGCAGGACAGCTTCCCCGTTGTCCAAACACACAGGGCTGTTGTGTTCTGCATGAACTCTTGTCTAGAAGGAAGTGCCCCTTCCTGGGAAGACACTCCTGAGGCTGCACCCAATTAATTTCATGCAGTTGAAGTCCCATCCAAACACGGAGAGCCCCTGCCAACTAGGTCCCGAGCTCTCACAGCCGTCAAAACAGGGGTGGGGTGGGGGGGACAAAGTCACTGCAATTCTTTCCTGATCTGCTGCAGAAAACATTCACATCTAGGATATTGTAGGAGTTTCCTGTTTCCAAGGGAAGCCAGTAGCCATTTTTTTTTATCCTCACCTGAGGACATTTTTGCATTTATCTTCAGATAGAGCAGAAGGGAGAGAGGGAGGAAGAGAGAGTGCAACTTCGATGCGAAAGAAACACATCGAGCCCTGGCCGGCTTGGCTCAGCGGTTAGAGCGTTGGCCTGCGGTTCAGAGAAACACATCGACTGGTTGCCACCCACACAGCCCCAACTGGGGCTGGGGACAAACTGCAACTGAGGTACATGCTCTTAGTGGGAACTGAACCCAGGTCTCTTTGGTCCACAGACTGACACTCTAACCACTGAACAAAACCGGCCAGGGCCAAGTAGCCATTTTTATTCCCCTTTCACAGATGTGGAAACTGAGGCTCAAGTAGTTAAGTCATCAGTCCAAGGTCACCTAGCTAGTCGATGGCTGGGTCTGAACCTCAGGTCTTCTGACTTCCAGTCCAGTGCTCCTCCTGCCCCCTGGCCTGCAGCCTCCTGGTCTTGCCTGTGTGCTGCCCCAGCCCCTGGTGTGGTCCTGCTCTTCCTCCACCCCAGCTGGTGGCTGTTCACACTCCAAGGGGCTGACCTCGGCCTGGCTCCTGTCCCTCTCTCCCTCCAGATTGAGCGGCAGCTCTTTGAGGAGACTGTGAAGACCCTCAACGGCTTCTACGCAGAGGCTGAGAAGATTGGGGGCAGCTCCTACCTGGAGGGCTGCCTGGCCTGTGCCACGGCCTACTTCATCTTTCTCTGCATGGAGACCCACTACGAGAAGGTGCCCCTCCCTGACTGCCCTGCACCCCCTTCCCAGGGCTCCCTGCCGCACCCTCATCCTCAGTGGACCCCTCTCCTTGCAGGTTCTCAAGAAGATCTCCCGCTACATCCAAGAGCAGAATGAGAAGATCTTTGCCCCTCGAGGTCTCCTGCTCACGGACCCCGTTGAGCGTGGGATGAGGGTTGTATCCTTCCTGTCTGTTCTGTGTGTGTGTGTGTGTGTGTGTGTGGGGGGAAGCAGGGGGACTGAGAGCTGCCAACCAGTGGGGTCTGTGGTGAGGCTGCTAGGAAATGGAACCACCCTAGGGGCCTGGTCACCAACCCTCTCCTCCACCATTAGTTATTGGTGCTGTTCGTGAATTTCAGGGTTTGCTTTTATTTATTGAGCTGCATTTATTCAGTGCTTAGTACATGCCACACAGCTTATTAAGTGCTTTGAAACTATGGGTCCATGTAATTCTCATAACACCCTTATAATTGTGGGGAACTTATTTCCCTTTACAGATGAGCACACTGAAGTTAGACCACTGGCTCACGAATTTGAACCCAGGCTCACTCTTAACTGCGAGGCTGTACTGCCCCTCAGTGCAAAAGAGGGTGACTGTACTCCACCTCCATTTCCCTGTCCACAGCCTCACAGGAACCTAGCCGACCCCGTGCGGTCCCGTTGGTGCCCTTGCACAGGTGAGAACAGTGAGCACTTGCGGGGAGGTGAGGGTAGGTTATAGGTGTGCTCACTCCACCTGGCCAAGTGTGCACGCTTCCCTCCCCCGGCAGCAGCAGCAGCAGCAAGAATACAACGGTTGAGAAGTAAATTTTACTAGAAAATTGAGAGGAAAGCGTAAAGAAAACACAAATATCAGAAACTCATGTTTACAAAGCCCAGTGGGAGGTGTTTGTTATCACTGAGCCTATGCTGTGTGGTAGGCACCTGTGCGTGTTACTTCATTTAAGCCTCACAACAACCCTAGGACTCTCTTGCTATCCCCATTTTACGGATGTGATCGCTGACAGGTAACAAGGGAAGTGACTGGTCTAAGGTCACATAGCTCTAGAGTGAGCGAGGTGGAATTTGAACTCGGGCACCAAAGCCCTCACATGTCCTGTATAATAACACCACCTCCTGGTCACGTGATGTCCTGGGATTCGGCACTTAGACACCAGAACGTGAGCTCCTGGTCCTGAGCTCAATGTGCTGAGTGTGAGCCACTGGGCTTGGGCTGCAGCTCCCCGGGCCTCCCGGTTCCTACTGCCTGGGGAGCAGGACGAGCTCGGCCTCCTGCTCCCCAGCTGGCTTCCATCAAAGGTCCTGCCCGCCCTGCGGGCAGCCGGCAGCCCTCCTTAGCGCGGCCCCAGATCGAGATCTCCATCTACGAGGACCGGTGCAGCAGCGGCAGCTCCAGCAGCGGCAGCAGCAGCGGCAGCGGCAGCAGCGGGGGTGGGGGCGGGGGCGCGGGGGCCCGGTGACTGGCCGAGAGTCCCTGCAGGGAGGTGTACGGCAGGACCGAGGGCCTTGCAGACCTGCGGCGGCTGCGCTACCAGAGCACTCGCTTCTGAGTCATTCTGTGGGCCCGCCTGCTGCCCTGGGCGGGAGGGAGGGTGACTGGTCCTGTCTCCTGCAGGCCAGGGTCCTCTGGAAGGATGGTCCACTTCCACCTGGCTCTTCCTCATAGGGCTGTTCTGGGTCACACGGAGGCTGGGGCGGGACAACATAATTTGGACAGCCCCTTTCTTCTGCAGCAACTCTCCCAATCCCTGGAGAGGGCCCGGGTGTGTCACAGAGAATTCCCATCCTGCATGACTCCTCACCCCAAGTCCCACGTCCCCCAAGACACTTCCCTTGGAGCCCTACTCCCCATGGCTGATTCCCAGTGTCTGTGCTCCCTGATGCCACCACAGGACCTCTGCCTGCCTGTGATCCTGTCTCCACTGAATTTGAGGTCTGGGGAGATGGGAGTGGTCAGACTGTGGGTGCCTTGGAGGACAGCTAACTGTTCAGTGCCCTCCTGAACTCTTCTAGACTTTCCTGCCTGCCACCCAAAGCCTGAGGCCACTTTGGCCTTGCCAAGAAGCATCCAACTCCTGAGACTTTGGAGGTGACCTGGTCATGGGACACACAGCCTTGGGCTCTGGGAGGTCATGGGGTGGGGGGGTCTGGAGAAATGTAGCCTTGGGGGCTTGAACCTCCAGAACCGAAGCCAACTTCCTGAGATTAGAACCTGCACGGATGTGAGAATGAGTGGGTGCGCACGTAGGTGTGAATGTGAGCACCGTGTGCAGAAATGCTCGTGTGTGTGTGTGTGACTGCATGTGTGAACGCACTTGTGAGTGTGTGCACCTGTGTGAGTGTACCTGTGTGAGCGTGCACTTGTTCCTTCCCCTTGGCTACGACTGCCCCTCTCTGCGTCCGGTCTTACTTCCCGTGCGAAGATCTGTGGCTGCTCCTCTGCGTAGGTCCATCCTGTCCCCTGTAGATAAACGCCCTAATGCCTCTTGTCCGGGGGCTGCTAGCTTGGCTCTTCTTCCAGGCCTTTTCCCTACCCGCAAGGTTCTCCCCACCTCTGACTCTGCTGTGCACATTCTAGCAGAAGAGAAGTTGGGCTCTAGGAGAGCAGAGCCCACCTGGGGCCTTCCATGGCCCTGTCCTCGTCCCCGGTGACAAGGCAGCAGGGCACAGACGCTGCATATCCCGCCCGCCCCGGCTCCGGGGCTCTCTATGGCTGTGTAAGTAAGGCTTCCTTGGACATTCAAAGGTGCCAGCAACCTGCAGGGGAAAAACAAACCCCTTTCTTGAAAGGAAAGTGGGACGTCCAGCCCATGAGTCCCCTGGCTGCCAAGACTCAGGGGTGTCAGAGGGAAGAAGCTGCCCCGGCCTGGTGCCCTGAAGACGGACAGAAGGAGGCTGCCTGCCTCAGTGGTGGAGGTGCTAGATGTAGATATGAAAGACCAGCCACTGCAGGTGGATTTCTGAAACCAAAGAGGGGCCTGATTTTCTTTGGACACAGGAGCAGCATGTGGGAAGGAAGTGCCTACCCAGAGAGCTGGAGAGGGTGTCCCAGCCCCTGAGCCCAAGTGGGTTCTGATCCAAGAATACCCCCAGAGAGCTGCAGTTCAGAGGGCTCCACCACAGCCCCCTGAGCCCTGACCCGGCCTGTGACCACCCTGGCCCACTGTGTGACTGGGCCTTGTGTCTGACCTGTGCCTCTCCCGTGGGATGGTGGGGCACAGGTGATAACGGTGGCCTTTTGTTTTATGTTTCTTTTTCCAATAAAAGGACTTGCTCAGCTGAGGCTCTGTGCTGCTTCTCCCCCCTGTGGCGATGGAGGACCCCTTCTATGCCCAAGATCACAAGGAGGGGAGGGGAGGCTGCCCACCCACCTCATCCGAGGAGGCGGGGCAGAATGTCTTCTTGAAGAGGCAGCTGGCCAGACACTGCAGGATGGACCCTGTCTTCTTGGGGCTTGTGGCTAGTGGGGAGGCCGACCTTCCAGATGCTCTAATCCAGTGGTTCTCAACCTGTGGGTCATGACCCCTGAATGACCCTTTCACAGGGGTTGCCTAAGACATAACAGTAGCAAAATTACAGTTATGAAGTAGCAATGAAAATAATTTTATGGTTGGGGGTCACCACAACATGAGGAACTGTATTAAAGGGTCATGGCATTAGGAAGGTTGAGAACCGCTGCCTAATCCGTAGCTTGTATGGGGCTCTTGTGGCCTTGGGTTGGGGGAACAGGTTAGACTGAAAGCCAGGTCAAAAGTAAGTAGTGAATTCAATAAATATCCATTTCTTGAGCTCTTAGCTTGGGTTGGGCCATGAGGTGTTGGATCATACAATTCACTCAATTCTAAAGACTACACAAGTATGTGGGTATTGAAACCTAGCAGAGTTGTGTCTTGGATTTCATAAAATAACATTTATTGAACACCTATTGTGTGCCACGTACTTTGCTAAAACCATATGCTAGAGCTGGGAGGGGATTTCAAGATCATCTAAATGAAGCCGAATGGGGCCCAGAGAGGGTGAGTGACTGGCCCCAAGTCACACAGCTGGTTGATGATAATGCCAAGTTTAGAACCAAGGTCTCCTGACCCAGTGCTCACTCACATGGAGGGGATAGCACCCAGGAGGAAGTTGCCTGAGGATGCGGGGAGGCAGGGGTCACATACTTAAGTCTTTGGGCCACAAGAGGATCTCATCAGACTTTGGAAACAACAGCCCCAGCTTCTGGGTTGAGGTTTGGGGAGAGATTCCCTCTGGGTGGTGCTGAACGAGACTCTCGGTGGCTTTCACATTTATACTTAGCTGCTCTGTGGGGCAGCTGGGCCTTTGCCTGAGTCATGAGGCAAGCTGGCCTCGATGCCTCTGCTCAAAGCTGGGGTGTGTGGGGACTGTCACCATGGAGGCTGTTCCTCTAGGTTCATTCTGTCCTGTTTGCAACTACATTGTCACTGTTATGTTGGTAATAATAAAACAATACTAGCTAACATTTATTTAGCACTTACTGTGTGCTAGGCACTAGGCTGAGACTCTGCACAATTCATCATTCAGTCTTCACAACACCCCTGTATATTGTGGACTATTATTCCCATTTTACAGAGGAGGAGACTGAGGCTCACAGAAGTTAAGTAACTTGTCCAAAATCACATAACGAAGAAGTGGCGGGGCTTGGCATTGAATCCAGACAGTCTGGTGTCAGACTATGGGAAAGAGGAGAGATGCAGCTTCAGAGATCCCCTCAGCGGCCTGAGGTCCTCAGCCATCCTATGGTCAGGACCCGGCAGGTTCCCAGGGAAGAACGTGGAGCTATGCCTGGGCTCTGAGGCAGGGCCGGTACCTCCAAACCCAGGGCATCACAGGAGTGTGGGTGGACTGTACTCCTCATGGGCCCCCCAGGGGCAGCCTGGCGAAGGCAGTGGCAGGGAGAAGCCACGCTTGGTGTGCTTGCTTTCAGCCTGGCTCTCCTCTGCTGGCTCAGTTATGGGGACGTGGCCTCTCTCCTAGGTCCAGAGGCAGCCATGCAGCTGCAATCTCCTTGTCAGCCAGAGACGGGCTTCCTCAGGCCCCAGGGGACAGAGGGACCCCCAGCAGCTGTTGACTGCTGCTTCCTCTTCATTGTTGCTGGGATTCCACTTTCTGGCTTCCTCTGGCCAACAGCAGAGGGGTGGATTGTAGGGGATGGTTCCGAAAAATCACAGTTTACAGAAGCTCGTGGTGCCCCCAAGCGGCGTAATTTTGTACTGCACCTAGAAACTGGCCTGGGTCAGAGCTACACAGCTGTGAGAAACTTCCCCAGGACCCCCAAACCAGCAGCTTCTCCCACCTGCAAGGACTTTACTGTGGCTTCCGGAGGTTCGGGGCAAATGTGGAGCCCGGTTGGTGGTGAGTCTCCCTACAGCCAGCCCTGCGGCGCTGCCTTTCTCCTGGAGGTGTGTGTGTCGGGAGTGTTGGGGGGGGGGAGGAGAGGCACGGGTGTTCAGCAGCCTGGGAAACCCCACCTCCCTTCTGCACAGCTCCAGGACTCACAGTGAGGAGGGTCTCTGCAGGAGGCACCCCACCTGGCTTTGGCTTTACTGTTCAAGGTCGGAGGCAGAGCAGGGGTCACTCCAAGTCACATCTGAATTGGAGCTCTGGCTCCGTGCCAGTGGCACGTGGTAGATTCCTGCGCCTGTTTTCCCAGCTCATGCTTGACAAAACCGCTCAGACCAGTGCTGCTCGTGCTGGGCTGCAACTGATGTCACCTGAGGAGCAAGAAAAACTGCCGATGCCGGTCCTATCCCCAGATTTCATTGTTCTGGGGTGCGGCCTGGGCATTAGGGTTTCTCAAGGTTCCCCTGAGGATCTGGTGTAAAGACAAGGTGCACATGTGCGGTGTCAGATCGGGTACTAGATTTACCAGGGTGATCGCTTAGTAAATCATGTAATGGCTAATCGCTGGGTTACACACCTGAAACTAATACAATAGTGTCTGTTCACTGTAATCAAGACATTTAAAATGTATTTAAAGAAACAAAGGCAAGGTGGAGAGCCCTTGGTTTGCACAGTACCTGGAGCCTGCGAGCTTTTCACAGGCCTCTGAAAACGTCTGACACCTGAGTAAAAAGTTTATGGGTTTCCTGAAAACAGCCAGACACAAAATGAGTGTGAACTTTACAATTCCACCTATAAAAAATTTGAACACAGGTCAAATTAATCTACGGCGTTAGCAGTCAGGACAGCGGCTGCCCTGGGGCACCGTGAGTGGAAGGGCTGGTGGGCTCTGGTGCTCAGGATGAGTCTCCAGCCCAGTGCCAGCTGCACAGGTGTGCTCACCCGCGAGAATTCATCGGCTGTACCTTTAAGATTTGTGTAGTTTTCTGAACATGTGATACATTTCAAGAACATTTACCAAAAATGTTTATTGGCTCCAAAATAGGAAGAGAAAGCACAAAATTGAAAATGTTTTATTACATATCTACAAAATACAGCATCGTGCCAGTC